TGATGATGATGATGATGGTAACGATGATGGTGATGGAGATGATGGTAATGATGATGATGGTGATGATGATGGTGATGGAGATAATGGCGATGATGATTATGGTGATGATTATGGTGATGATGATGATGATGGTGGTGATGATGGTGATAGAGATAATGGTGATGATGTTGACGGTGATAATTATGGTGATGATGATGGTGGTGATGATGATGATAATGATGGTGATTATGATGAAAATGGTGATGGTGATGGTGCTAGTGATGATTTTGATGATGATACAGCATAATGATGATGATGTTGGTGGTGACAATGGTTGCGATGATGATGACAAATCATGATGCAGATGATGATACCTGGTTATAAGGAAATATGCCATATACTCAATAAACATATTCTAAATATAATAAACCCACCTGTACCTGTCTCCACAAGTCCAGGACAACAACTGATGACAAAAAATAGATATAGAGGATATTACATGGGCGTGYGGAGATRTGAAATTTATCTTTGAGTTTTGAAAAGATCTCTCACAAGTGAGCGTAGCGAACGAGTGAGAGATTTTCAACACGAGAAGAAAAATTTCGTATCTCCAAGCGCCCATGTAATATTCTGTTTATGATATAATTATCAATGAAGTATGTTTTGGCTTTTTCAGGCAATTCTTTCTGTGTATTTTTGAATAGCCATCGCAATGGTGTTATCTTCACACGTGAAAATAACATGTTATTTTCACGTGTGAAGATATCAATTTTTCGAAATAGAGAAAAATAGATATTTCATTGGTAATTATATAATAAAAAGAATTATTAAAGAATTTATTTTTAAAAATCACACAAAAAATAAATAAAAAAAAGAACTCACAGCAAAGGAAGCTTGTAAAGATAACTTGTACCATCTTTACACCAAACCATGACACAGTCAGCGGCAACAAAATCCCCACCCAGCCACTTTTTTCCTTGCAGACATGACACGGTGGTGAGAAACTTGAAGTCGCTGGCATCATAGAGCTGAATTAAAACAATTCATTAAAACTCTACTCAATTTAGAATAATTTATGAGGAATAAGAAGGGTCCTACTAAAGACCCATGGGGTAACCTTCTGTTAATCTTTAAAGAATAGAAACAAAGAACAAAAAGGGTCCTAGTATAGACATGTGAGGTACACCTGAATTGCAAAGGGAAGTTACTTTCAATCCAAGAACAAAGAGTAACAAGGGTCCTAGTAGAGGCCCTTGAGGCACACCTGACAGACTCATCAACCAATAAAAAAAGCAAGGGTCCTATTATAGACCTCTGAGGTACACCCAACTTTGATGTAAGTATTATTCAAAAAAATCCTTGAGGTACAACCGACTAAGAAGGCACTATTTATAAATAAATAAATAAAATAAATTAACTTTGTTTATAGAGGATAACACTTGACAGTAATTCAACTGATAAACTTGTGGTCCTCTGTTAACGTCTCTAGTTAATTAGGGACGGGACCACCATTAATGCAGATGTAATTACAAAGGCAGCACCTTCTCCTCAGTTATTTTAAGACACTGAGTGTTGGTCTGGCTGAGGCTTGAACAACGACCTCCCGCACAACAGACCGACGCTCTTACCAACTGAGCTAACCGGGTGGCGATTATCAAAGAGAAAGAAAAAAATAAGGGTCCTAATAATGACCCTTGGGGCAAACCTGAATTACAAGGCAGTACTAGTCAACAATGACAACAATGGTACTAGTACAGACCTGTGAGGTACACCCCTACTTACCAGCCAGTGGGTACAACACACCACCAGTATTGTCCTTTGTGTAAATGGATTGCAGCAGATCGTTGATGTTTTGAAATTTCCAACTTGCTTGAGTTCTTGTTCATATGCTGGTTCCGAGTACTATAAAATTGGGGGGAAATCAACCAACTTTATACAAAAGCTGCACACAACACAGCAAGCAAATTATTTTGCAGCTATTCATACCTTTGAATCGATAGTGCTCTTTAGTGTCCATATGGCCAGGAAACCAGACAAGGATACACCAACAACGACATCCTCTGTTGGAAGTAAATAGTATCAGATTATATCTAGGAATTTTGTCTGTAAATTATTTACAACTAAGCTTATAGAACCTGGTTTTTTAATGACTGTGAATAATCGACAGGCAGTCTTATAATTCATTTGGAAAGGGCAGTGACTTCTTTAATTTGCAAGGGTGGATCCAGGAGAGAGGGGTAATTGCTGGGGGGTCACTTTAGCCACCCTCGTTTTGCTTTGGRAAAAAAAGAAAAGAATAAAGGATAAGGTAAGGCCTAGAAAGATTCTATATGATGGCTTTCTGGTAACAGCCTTAACCTTAAAATCGTTCTGGAACTGACACTGTATTTATTTAATAATGCAAATTTCTTCTTAAAGATATTTTGCTAGCCTTTCACCTACTTATAGTATGAAAAATATGTGCAAATCTAAAATACCTTGACGTCTTGCTGGTCGCACCACACAGACAGCACTGATCCAATTGGAGTGTGAAGAAGAACGGAGTGTGTACAAAACCTGTGAAATGAAGAATAAATAGAAGTATAGAACTATCCTGAGCACTGAGTATTATTTCTTTCTTTACACGTTTATGAGAAGTTTGGGATTTCCACTAGGTTATAAAATAATAAAATCACTACACCATAGCTGAAAAGCATTCCTAGTAAAGAAGATGGAATAATAGTAAAAAAAATATAAATTCATATTAATTAAAGAAAGAAATAATACTCAAGGGAATGACACATGGTCTGAAATGGGAAAACATTGCACCATAGCTGCAAAAGCATTCCTAGTAAAGAAAGAAATAATACTCAAGGGAATGATGATTGGTTTGGAGATTCTCTGAATATTAACTTACCTCTAGTGATACGGCATCCAAGACATAAATCTCAGGATAACTGCCATGGCACACTATTCTCCATTCTTTAGAATTACCAGACTGTACCTGGAAAGACTAGAAAACAAGATTTGATAAAAATATAAATTGAACCCTGAAACAACCTCTGAGCTAATCTAAGTCAGGGCATGGCTAACTCACAGATCAAACCCTGAAACAACCTCTGGGCTGATCATAGTCAGGGCATGGCTAACTCACAGATTGAACCCTGAAACAACCTCTGGGCTGATCTAAATCAGGGCATGGCTAAGTCAGGAGGAAGAGAATCAAGACAAAAGCACCACCCTTGATATCCTTTTTGTTATATAGAAATCCTTACATGAAGGCTGACATGAATTCCATTGATGATGTTCGTCTGGATGCAAAGACCATCATCTGTATCCCATAAGCACAGCTCACTGCAATATATCATGAAATTCGATTAATATTATCCCCCATGCAGGGGAATTGGAATTTCCAAGGAGGGGTAGAGCTAGGGATTGAGGAGGACGGAGAACAAAAGGTGTTAATTCCAGAAAATATCTATATCTCCATGAAGAATAGCTGAGTAACTTACCCATTTTCTGCAGCACTAACTATACTGGACTTGTTATCCCATCCATCACTCGCTCGAGCAAGAGCTGTGACCTTTGCTGAATGAGCAAAGATAAGATTCCTTGGAACAACCTTCATGAAAGACAACGAAAAATATAAATTCTTTCGTATGCTTTCACATTGATTTTCCGTGGTACTTTTGAGTCCACTAGCTATACGTTAAGGCCATGGGAGTCATAAAACGTTATCAAAACATCTTAGAAAATATCTGAACATATTTTAAGATCTATAAATCCAAAATAACTTTTTGATCAGAAGTCAGACGAAAATCTTACATTTATTTCTCCTTGATCGTTAAATCGCAGATCCCAGACCCCAAGTTGACCGTCAGTAGACCCTGTTATAATCGCCTTCTGGTCGTATGTGGTGGTTATGCGTGATATACAGTGAGTTGGAGGCGAAGATCCCCACAAAACAACAGGAACAACTGAAGAGGAAGACATCTTGAATCATTATGAGCCTGTGAGCCTAATGGACAGCGGTTACACAAATACCAGTATAATGCGCTCTGTTCTTTCATTTTTACTTTCTCTTTTTTATATTTTATATTTATATTTTTTTATTTTCTCACTACGTATAGCCCAAATTTCCCCCAATTTATTGGTTCATTTTTATTTTTTAACTAGTTTAGATTTTCAAAAATTAAACAAAAACAAATAATAATATTCATTGAGTGTTTTCGTTGTATTTCATTTCGATTTTCTATTTTTTACAAAATTTCCAAAATTTATTCATTTCTCCATTTGTCGTTTTAGTTCAAATTTTATTTTCTAATTTTTGAAACCTTTGACAAATACTTCCCTTCCCTCCCCTCCCCTAGTAAATAACGCGAGAGCTAGTTATGCGCATGAATGATTCATAGTCTTTTATTCCAAGATGGCGGCAAACAGTATAGTAAAAACCATCTCCGAAGATTCCTTGTTCAAACCAGAACTAGTCAACGCAGGAACAAAACTAGTAGTTGTTGACTTCACTGCTTCATGGTAAGTATTTCTGGCACACTTTTTATGGCTTTTTTTGATTCTCTTTCAGGAATAAATGTTTTGTAAGTTGATGTGGTTCGAAATTTTTGATCAAAAATTTAAAAAATTGCCGGCTTTTTATTTAACAACAAAAATTTGGTAAGGTTTTTCGTGAAAGGCTAGTTCAAGCAATTTGTTTGCTAGATATCGAGTACTGAATATAGTTTTTAGATCAGAGTGAAAGGAAAAGTATTGATATTTTATTTTTAAACTTAGTGACTCAGCAAAAAAATCTATAAAAGTGCCGGGTAGAAAGAAAAAAACTTGATTAGTTTTTTAAAGCTATTTTTACGATTAACAAATAAATAAATAAAGTTTTGAGTTTGTCTCTATTTGGTTTATTTTGTAATGATTGGCAGAGCTCTCTATCATATCCATCCATCCATCCCATTCATTCATCATCCATCCATCCATCCACCCATGTCATCCATCCATCCATCCATCCACCAGCTCATTTCTTAACCCATTTATTTATTTATCCACTTCTATATATCAGGTGTGGACCATGTCAAAGGATTGCACCTGAGGTTGAGAAACTCAGTAGAAAGTATCCAAATGTTGTCTTCTTGAAAGTAGATGTTGAAGTATGTCAGGTACTGTCTTTGCAACATTTTTGCTTTTCTTCTAATTAAGGTCTTAAGACAAACTGTCAGACTTGCCATCATATGCAAAAGAAATGTCTTATCCTCAAGATTATAATCTAGTTTCCTTTCTCCATAAAAATCAAGTTTAAATTTGTTGGGCAAAAAAAAAAACAGTTTTCAAAAAACAAGAGTTGTGGGCATTGCTTACTCACAGATCAAATTCTAAAATATCCTCTGGACTGATCTAAGTCAGGGCACGGCTAACTCACAGATAGAACCCTGAAACAACCTCTGGGCTGATCTAAGTCAGGGCACGGCTAACTCACAGATAATACCCTGAAACTACCTCTGGGCTGATCTAAGTCAGGGCACAGCTAACTCACAGATAATACCCTGAAACTACCTCTGGGCTGATCTAAGTCAGGGCACGGCTAACTCACAGATAGTACCCTGAAGGATACTATAATACCTGAACTTTTCATAATTCCTATTGATAGGAAACAGCAGCAAAGCAAGGTGTATCAGCCATGCCTACCTTCCAGTTTTTCAAGAGCCAAACAAAAGTAGACGAAATGACAGGTGCCGATCATATGATGCTAGAAAACAAGATTAAGCAATGGAAGGGTGATGACGGAGAAGAAGGGGGAGGATGTGGAGTCAAAGGACATGTGAGTACATGCAGGAAAGGTGAAATACAGTAAACTCTCACCTTGAAGACACCCCAATATGTGGTTATTTTAAGCAAAGTTAACTTGAAGGAGAATTATTTCGGAGGGGGGTTTTGAGACAATCTGCATTCTTGGAATCCCCCTTCCGAAATTCAGGAATGTTTCAAAGCAGAGAATGAGAATGTATCAAAGTTTTTTTAGAGAATGTTGCAAAGCTGAGAATGCAGATTGGAATCACATTTTTGGAATCCCCCTCCAAAATTCAGAAATGTTTTAAGAACAAAGCAGAGAGCTGGAGTTCGGGATGCAGCTAAATCAAGCACATCCAAGCGCATGGCTACAGGGTGTATAATATTATTTTTATTATAGATACATTGATAAAATGAAAAGTGATTCTGGATACGGTGTGCCCTGATAAAGCCTGCACCACCAACCAATCAGAAGGCAAGATTTATAACAGTTATTTATAATGATTAATAATTATCAGGTGGATCTTCACAGCTTTATTAATAAGTCTGGTTGTGAGTCTCTTAATGAGGATAACGAGCATACATTGGCAGATGCGCTGAGCAAAGGACCTGCTTACCTTCAGAGTGATTGTGATGAACAGGTTGGTGATTTATGCCACATTATGGCACACTGTAGAAAATGTCATTTATTGTGTCAAACATGCAGGGAGAGAATGCTCAGTCTACCAAAGCCATGCAGAGTCTTCAGGACAGACCATTAGATAGTTGATGGGGGGGGGGAGGGGTGGGGGTTGCCTAAATCCTAAAAAAATATTGAGAAAGCACTTAAACCTCAAAAAAAATATCGTGTAACCTCTTCTGCTAGAAGAAAAATATCTAACTGTAYGCAAAAATATAACGTGCACGGGTTGAACCAAAAAAATAGATATCATGCAATCAAAATTCCTGAAACTCCCCCATTAATTATCTAATGGTGCATCCCTAATGGTGACTAAAGCAATCGATGGTATTAGCAAGATTAAATTGATTTTTGCAGAGGGAAGAAAGAAGAAAACCAGAGAACCTGTTTTTTTTTTATCATACATGTAGGTTAATTTGACTGATCAGAAGTATCGTTTTTTCTTGTTTGGTAGCTCCTGTTCACGATAGCATTCAACCAACCTGTGAAAATTCATTCAATCAAGCTCCAGGCCCCAAATGATGGTAAGTACATATTGTAGTAAATTGTTACAAATGCAGTTTGAACTTTTTGTAGCTAGAAGTTGAGGGGGATGAAGTGAAAACAGGGATTATAGTAAAGATACATTATGATGATGATGATAATAGGAAGGAAAATGTGATGATGATCACTGATATAATAGTGATGATAATATATTATGATGCTGATGATGGTGGTGGTGATGATGACACATCATTAAAATGGTGATGTTGATCGTGATGATGATGATGATGATGGTGGTGGTGATGATGACACGTCATGATAATGGTGATGATGATGGTAATGACAATGATGACACATGATAATGGTGATGATGGTGGTGGTGGTAATGATACATGATGATGATTATTATTATTATGGTAATGATGATGATATCATGATAGTGATGATGGTGGTGGTGGTAATGATACATGATGATTATTATTATTATTATGGTAATGATGATGACACATCATGATGGTGGTGGTGGTAATGATACATGATGATGATGATGATGATGGTAATGGCGATAAGGATATATGATAGTGATGATAGTGATGATATTGATATCATATATACGTGATGAGGTTATTAATAGTACATGATAATACTATTTTCTTATTCATATTCCAGGAAAAGCGCCAAAAACTATCAAGCTTTTTATCAACCAAACAAAAACCCTTGATTTTGATTCAGCAGAACAGTTCACTCCAATACAAACCTTAGAGTAAGCCTTTTGGTTTCATTTTGTAAAATTTTTGATCTGAATGGTCAGGGCCCAAAACGATGCTAATCAGTCATCGATCATGATGACTGGCCAGATAATTTGGTCATACCTCGTTTCTGGCTTAATGCAGATTTAGGAGAGGGTGYGGTGAGAGTGCACTCCCTCCCCTAAAGCAAAACTCCTGGATGGTGCACCCCAGCATCCTAGAAAAACTCCTGGATCCACCCCTGTTACAGGGCTTTCAGAATATTAAGCCAGCAGCCAGAAAATTACCATTAATCTATCATATCACTCCCAATTACTTTAAACTTATGACCAACTATGCCAAAGCATTCTGAAAGCCCCAGGTTACTGGTTAAAGTGGGTTTTAAGATTTGACTGGACAAGTTCTAATTGTCTGATGACAGGCCAATATTTTAAGCCCTAATGGTAACAATCCATTTTGTCTGACATCAAATATTTACTCTGTATATTTCAGATTAACAGCGGATGATGTGAAGGATGATTCTATAATTCAACTCAAATATGTCAAATTTCAAAATGTACAAAATATGACAGTAAGTACACAGTAGAATCTTTTATTTTGAATCAAGGGTGGTGTAGTGGTTTTGGGCTCTATTCCTAGATTAGATCAACTCCATAGGCCTTTTCTGAGTTCGATAAACAGGATGCATTATGGTCTAGCTTCGGTACAAACAACACCATATAAGGCAAGATAAACGAAAGATGCTTGTACCGAAGCTAGAACACAATGCTCCATGTTCGCTATCTCAGAAAAAGTCTATTAGATCAGCCCAGAGATTGTTTCAGGAATTGATGTGTGAGTTAGCAATGCCCTTACTCAGATCATCCCAGAGGTTGTTTTAGGAATTGATGTGTGAGTTATCCATGCCCTTACTCAGATCATCCCAGAGGTTGTTTCAGGAATTGATGTGTGAGTTATCCATGCCCT